GGAAGAAAAATGGAATAACAGATATAATACAGCAGATCTAAAGTTAAGTACATTGATAATTACAATAAATCTAGTAAAATACTTCAATTAAAAAAGATATTGTCAGACTGAATCTTATAAAACAAGATCTGCAAAAGTTTATGTAAAAGGATGAAAAAGGATGTTATGATAAACTAACCAGAAAAAAGCCAGCATAGCTATACTAATATCATACAAAGTAGACTTTAAGGCAAGAAAAATAACTAGGGATGAAGAAGACTTCATGATGACAAAAGGGCTCATCGCCCAGGAATATAACAATTAAATTGTATGCACCTAATAACATAGCTTCAAAATACATAAAGAAAAACTGATGGCACTGAAAGGAGAAATAGATGAATCCACAATCACAGTGGCAGACTATAACACAGTCCTTGCAGCAACTGGTGGAACAAGCAGACGAAACATTAATGGATATATTTGAAAATACAGTTGATCAATTTGATAAAAGATGGAAAATAAATGGAAATGTACATATTCTTTTCAAGGGCGCATGAAACACTTATCACAACTGCCCATATTGTGGGTGAAAAAGCATACTCTATACCTTTCCAATGATTGAAATAATTTAAAATATACATTCAGACCATAGTGGAAATAGGCTAGAAGTCAATTACAAAAGAAAAATGGGAAATCCTCAAATGTTTTGTAATTTAGCAACACATACCTAAATAACTCACTGTCCAAGGAAGAAATCTTAATAAACACTAAAAATTGTTTCACCCAAATGATAATGAAAATACAATATATCAAACTTTATGGGATCAGCTAAAGTTGTGTTTTGGAGGAAATATGTAGCCTTAAATCCATATATCGGAAAAGAAGGAAAGCTGAAAATCAATGATGATCCATCTCACAAAATAAAGAAAGAAAGGAAGAAGGGAAGAAAGAAATATTAAAATAGGGAAGAGAAGAAAAAACTAATAATAAACATAAAGAATAAGAGCAAAATTGGTGAAACAGAAAACAAATATATCATAGAGAAAATCAATAGTTGGTTCTACAGAAAGAATAATAAAATGGGTAGGCCCCAGCAAGACTGGGCAAGAGAGAGAGAAGGTGTGAATCACCAGTATCTGGGGTGAAAATGAAAAAAGCACAGGAACAGACTCTCAGATCCTAAAAAGACAACAAGTGAATATTATGAGCAATTTTGTGTTAACACATTCACTTTCCACTTTTAGTTTTTTGAATTCTTATTGCAGTATCAGGTACCCATGCAGGGGGCGTAGATTTTCAGGTGTACAGCTCGATGGATTTTTTTGTATACACACACCTGTGTAACCACCACCGAAACCAGGACGGAGGACCTTACTGTGACCCCTTCTTGGCCAATACTTCCATCCAAGACTAACCAGGACTGTGACTTCCCCTGGCATGGGCTTAGTTTTCCTTATTTTCAAAATGGCACACCAACTAGATTTGGCACCCGGCATCCTTTGTCCCGGTTGTGGATTCATCACAACATGTGCGGTTCTGCGTCATTGCAGGATACTATCCAGTGTGGGAACATACCGGAAGTTACTGTCCGTTCCATTCCATTTTAAAAAAAATTTTTTAATGTATTTATTTCTGAGAGAGGCAGCATGAGCAGGGGAGGGTCAGAGGGAGAGGGAGACACAGAATCTGAAACAGGCTCCAGGCTCTGAGCTGTCAGCACAGAGCCCGACACTGGGCTCGAACCCACGAAGCGTGAGATCATGACCTGAGCCGAAGTCGGACGCCCGACCGACTGAGCCCCCCAGGCGGCCCCCCCATTCCATTCCTGATGGCCACGGACGTCACTTTTTGCTGCTCATGAGTGACACTGCTTTGGGCACTCTTGTGTCTTTTGTGGATTGCCACACTGTTTCCCTTGGGTGTAGACCCAGGAGAGTTGCTGGGTGATGGGTAGACATGTGGGTAGCTCTAGTTAGTGCCAAGTTTCTTCCTAAATTGTCAAGCTGCTCCACTCTCCCCAGCCTTGACGAGGACCTCGCTTCAGCTATCCTGGTGGAGACAGCCTGTCTCACGATGGGCCTACCTTGCACTTCTCTGATGACAGACGATGTGGCACATCTTTCCACAGGGTTCTCTGACCCCCTAGGGTCCTCCTGTGCAGCACCTGCTCAGCTCTTCTGACCATCTTTTATTGGATTGTCTGACTTGTTCTCTCTACTTATAGGACCCGTGTATTTTGGCTATTTGGATACAGATTACTTGCTGAATCTAGTTATGGTTAATATCATTGCTTTTCACACTCTTAGAGGAGCCTTTGGGTGAACACGGGTTCTTAGCTGAGCTAGCCCAGTTTAAGAAAAACTTCCTGTGGGGGCACCTGGGGGGCTCAGTCAGTTAAGTGTCTGACGATTTCTGCTCAGGTCTTGATCTCACAGTTCACAGGATCGAGCCCCGCATCAGGCTCTGCGCAGGCAGTGCAGAGCCTGCTTGGGACTCACTCTCTCTCTCTGCCCCTCTGCTTCTTGTGCTGTATCTCTCAAAACTAATAAATAAATATTAAAAAAAAAAACTTCCTGTGGTTACTGATTCTTGTATCCTATTTTAAAAATCTTTGATACCCCAAAGTCACGAGCATATTATTTTATTTCACCTTCTAGATGATATGCTGTACCTTTCACATTGGATTAGAAGTCTGCTGACATCCTTATCTTTGTTCCTCTATATGTAATCAATCTTTTTAAAAATGATTTTATTTATTTTCAGAGAGAGAGAAAGTGTGAGTGGGGGAGGGGGGAGGGAGGGAGAGAGAGTCCCCAGCAGGCTCTGCACTGTCCTCCCAGGCCCGATTCAGGAGTTGAACCCACAAACCATGAGATCATGATCTGAACTGAAGACGGACACAAAACTGAGCCATCCAGGCGCCCCTGCAATAAATCTTTTAAATTTTAATTTTTTATTAAGACTTTACTTTTTTGAGCAGTCTTAGGTTCACAGTAAAACAGTGGGGAGAGGGCAGCGACTTCCCACCTACCTGCCGCCCTGACGCTGCACAAAACCCCCTCCGTCAGCATCCCCACCACAGTGGGACGCTAGTGTCCACGGAGGAACGCCCGAGTCTGTGGTTTACGGGAGGGCTCACTCCGCGTGCACACTCTGGGTTTGGACAAAGGTACAGAGACATGTACCCATCTGCTGTCAGTGCCTCCACTGCCCATGCCCGGTCCCCACCCCCTCCTGTCTCCACTGCCAAGGCCTGGCAACCACTGATCCTTTTACTGTCTTCATAGGCTTGCCTTTCCAGAACAAGTCACTGCCCGCTTCTCAGCTCTTCCCTGTCACCGAGTCTCAGCAATTGCCTCACGATGTGTTTCCATGATTACCTTTATTGGCATTTTCCTTGGGGTTCTTGGGTTATCACATCCATCAATTTAGTTTTTATCCAGCCTAGGAATCTTTTGCCACTATTTTTTTGATATATTCTTTTCCACACTTTTTCTAGGATCCCAACTACATGTATGTTGGACTTCTTGATATTGTGCCATTCATCAGTGATGCTCTGTTCATCTTTTAATTTTTTTCATTCGTTTTTTTTAAAGTCCTTTTTCTGTGCTTCATTTTGGGTAATTTCTCCTGTTATATTTTCTAGATTACCAGTTTTTTCTTTTGCAGTGTCTCCCTGCTATTAATACTATTCAACGTATTATTCATTTCAGATCTGTGTGGGGAACAGAGCCAACGTGGGAATGGAGCGGGCGTGGGGACAGTGGGATACCAGTGGCTCCTGGGCCGTGGCTGGTGACCTGGTGATCAGTCTCAGTGGCAGCCAGCTGTGTGGGCTGACAGCAGGCTGAGCGCTCTCCAGCCCAATGGTCCACCTCCTCTGGGTCCACCTGGCAGCAGAGTTGGGGGACGTGGTCCTCTGGGTGGGAAGACCCGAGGCTCCAGGCACTGGGTGGTGCGACGTCAGCACCGCTGTGCCATGAGGTCAGAGATCACTTCAAAGCCACAGGAAGGGTGAAGGAACGGGAGAGGCCGAGGCTCAGCACTCAGGAGCCCCTCCTGCGGCTACTTGTCCACAGCAGGCCTATTTTAGAGCGCTGCTGGACGGCGCATCCTTGAATGGCTGGGATAAAATAACTTTCTCCTTGAGAAGCAAACTGAAATCTCTAGGCTTTGCTTTCTCGCCTATGCCGCCCCCTGCTGGCGATGTCTCTGCATTGTAGCATCCCTGGTCTTGGGGATCAAAAGGGATTTTCCAGCCAACGAAGGGAGCCCCTGGGGCCAGGCATCTCCACCCCAAACTCTACCGGTGGAGAGAGAAGGCCAAGGCAATGGACGCTGGGACCTTTGCCATGTGATAGAATGATTTATTAGAACAAATTCCATGACAACTCATATAAAATAATCGTTTTCTGAAAGACATCCATAAGACCACCTGAGGACAAACAGACAGAAGTCCCTCAAAAGCCAGACAAAATAAGTTACCGATCCCAAGTCGAAGGCTGGAGGGGGGAAGGAACAGGGATTTGTGAATTTAAAAAAAAAAAAGTGTACAGAGATCACTGAGGGTGTGTGGATGGAGCACGGCTGCTGTTTGCTTCCAGGGGACGGGCTGTGGGCGACTGTGCGGGGCATGCAGGAGACGGGGGGCCAGCAGGCTCGAGGGGCGGGGTCCTGGCAGGGAGCCGCCACCACTCACAGAAACACGGGGGGCGGGGTGTAGGACCCATGCACAGTCCACATCAGCTAAATGTAAACATCCACACACACCACCGGTGGCTGGGGCCCGGGTCACACCCGCCGCCGGCCGGGCCCCATCCTGCCCTCGCCACTCACACAGGGCCGGGGTGGGCCGGCCCCGCCCCCACCTGCCACAGCCCAAGGGCTCTTTGGCTTAGAGGCTCCAGAAACAGCCCCCCTCCCCCGGCGTGTTCCCAGCTGAAAGAACCCTGAGAAGGCAAACTGTCCCTGCAGGTCTCTCCCTGCTCGCCCCGCCCCCTACGCCCTGCCCCCGCGCCAGGACGGAGACACCCAGGTAATGCCCAAAGCATAAGGGATGACGGGGGTGAGGGTGGGGGAGGGCGTGCAGCCTAGGGAGGCTCTGGAAGCCTGGTTTCCAGCCACTTCGGTCCAGTGCTCACACCCCCCCTCCCCCAGCCTAGAACTGCAGGGAGCCCGGCCTAGCCAGCGTCCTGAGCTGAGACCCACCGGCCCTGCAGTGTGGACGCGCGCCTGGTGTGCGCACGTGCCCCGTGCGCAGCCCGCGGGGCAGCAGCCAGCACACTCGGTGGGTTTGGCAGTTGCGTTGGCACCAAAGAAGTGGGGTTCCCGCCCCAAACGTCTCCGCGGGCCACACCCCCGCCCCAGGACACTGGGCCACAGAGCTGGCTGAGAGGGCCTCGGCCACGTGCACCCTGCCCTCCAGCCCTGGGGCACTGCCAGCCCCTCCCAGCTCCACGTTTGGCACTGAATGACCCCCGGGCCGGCCCCGGCCAGTGCGAGAGGCGGGTGAGGGCCTTCCGGGCCCAGGGAGCAGCTGCGACGCCACAGACGACTCTTCCCTCAAAAACTAAAGACACAAAGAACAGCGTGGAGAGGAGGCAGGGCACACGCCTGTGACGCAGGCCCTCAGCGGGGGCCCCAGCGCGAGCTGGGCCACGCGGCCGGAGCGTCCAGCTGGGGTGCTGCGGGGAGTTAGGGAGGGGCCTGGGCACAGGGCCCCTGCCCAGGGGTTATGGCACGTGTGGGGGTCTCTGTGCGAACCGCCCGCAGCGGGAAGGGCCGCAGTGGCAACGACGGGCGCTGGAGGCGCCGGGGACAGGGCCGCGGCCGTGGCCCCACCGCCTAGATCGGGAGCCTCTCCGCGTCGGGGAGGAAGTCCGGGAGGAAGGCGGGGCCCGGGAGGCCGGGGGACCCGCGGTTGGCCCGCTGCGGGACGCTCCTCGGAGGCAGGGCCATGGGAGGTGACACTGGGCTCTGGGCAGCCGGCCGGCCTTTCCCGAGCTGGGCCGAGCCCGCCGGGCCCCGGTTCGCGGCCAGCAGGTCCAGGTTCCCGCTGGGGTCCACGATGGCGTTGATGACTGCGGGGGCGGCAGCGTTAGGCCGGTCTGAGGGTCCCATGCAGCCTCCCGGGCCCACCCGGTGGGCGACGCGCCTGGTCTCCCACCAAGGACCCTGCGCGGGGGTTGGGGGCAGCAGCACCAGTGTGGCTCACCCCCGCCCCCCCACCTCTGGGCCACTCACCTTCCAGCTGCTTCTGTACGCGCCTCAGTTCTTTCAGGATGGAGCTGATTTCCTGGAAGCGCGCAAGGAGGGGAGATGCAGCAGGGCCACCAGGGGTCACCCACCCCCAGGCCTGTGGCCCGCAGCCCCCACTCCCCGTAGCCAGGTGGCAGGGGCGTGGCCAGTGCTCACCTTGTTTGACGTCTTCAGGATGGGCACCTCATTCTCCGAGTTGATTCGGGCTTCCAGCTCCTCCCAGGCGCGCCCTGTGTTCTGAAAGAGGATCCTGCCGCCCCGGGGTGGGAGCGGGAACAGGCAGAGGACAGTGATGACCGCAGCCAAGACCCTCAGGCTCCCAAATCCCCCTCACACCACACCCCTCCCATGCCCGGGGGAAACTGAGGCCCAGAGTAGGGCCTGGGCTGGCTGGTGCCAGAGCCCGTGTCTGCCTCATGTAGGAAGGGCCGGGGCTCATCTTGGGGGTTCTGGTTCCCACAGGCTCAGGGTCTGGTGGCCGGGGGTGTGTGCGTGCGTGTGTGTGTGTCTCTCTCTCTCTCTCTCTCTCTCTGTCTGGTGGCCGGGGCCTGGCTGGCGTGCATGCGCGTGCGTGTGTCTGACTGAGGGGAGTCTGGCTCCACGCCAGCCCCACGCACTTCATCTTCTCGGCGAGGTGCTCCGTGTTCTCTCGGATGGCGTGGGACAGCTGGGACACGGGGTTCAGCATCAGGTTGTCAAAGATCACCTGTGAGGAGTAGGCATCAGTGTGGCGCCCGGGAGTGCCCTGGGGCCCTGGACACAGCCCGCCCCCTTGGCCAGAGGGGCCCCTGGGTGCGCGCCACCAGGCCGGCTTTGTGGGGGGCGGGGGGCGCCTGCCTCCTCGCGGTTCCGCGGCCGCATCTTGTTGGTGAGGGGGTCCTCACAGCGGTCGTTCATGTTCTGGTCCAAGTCCCGAGAGCTCAGGGAGCCAGGTGGCACCTTCTGGAAGTTGAGGCTGGCCTCAGGGATTCGCTGCACCAGCTGCAGACCGGGTAGGGCGGCGTCAGTGCACCTCGGGGGGCATCCGCCAGCAGGTGCAGACGGTTCTGCGCCCCCTGCTAGGACAGCGGGGAGACCCCAACCCTGTCCGCCCAGGGCTCCTGGACACCCCCGACCCCAAGGAAGGCAGGTCCCGGACTGTGAGCTTCGGGGCAACTGTTCGGGGAGCCAAGCAGAGGACGCACAGCCTTGGTGACTGCCCGCCCTCTGCAAGGCGTGCCAGGAGCGCCCCAGGGCCAGAGAGGCCAGACATGGCTGGGCTCACCTCCTCACGGGCGGAGATGGTTGAGGCAGGGGTGGTGGGCACGGAGGGGCTCCGGGCCGGCCCCGGGGAGCCCAAGGAGTCCCCATCTCCAGCCACATCGTGGATCTCCCGGGCCAGGATGGCCACATCCTTCACCAGCGTCTGGCTCAGCCTGCGAGAACAGGAAAGAAGGCCGGTGCCGTGGGGTCCTCCGGGCTGGGGGCCGGCGTTGGGGAGGTCGGGGAGCAGGAGCCTGCCAGCACCCAGAGTCCCCCGCCCCAGGCCGACCTCTCCCTCTCAGGTGCAGGCAGGAGCCCGTCCCAAGAGATAACTGCCGGGTGAGGGGCAGGCGGCCCCCAGCCCGGCCCAGACTGTGCCCAAGCGGCCACTGGCGATGCTGACTGGGTCCCATCAGGAGGCTCAAGTCCCTGATGCCCCCTGAGGGGTGGCAGGAGCTGGGGGCCAGGTAGGAAGGGCTCCAGAGCAAGCCACACCCTGTCCTCCTCCGGCCACCAGGGCTGGGCATCAGGGGCTGCCACAGAACGTGTGGGCCACGCAAGCCCTCCTCTGCAGACGGGGACACTAAGCCGGGGAAGGGGTCACAGACAACAGCTAGAATCAGGGAAAGGCTGACAGAAGCAGGCAGAGGCCGGGAGGCGGGGAGGCGGGGAGGCCGAGCCCCCAGCAGCAGCCTGGCCCTGCTCACAGCCTGCACAGGTGATCACGGGCTTCCCCCGAGGCCACCAGGGACCGGGAGCAACGTCTGACCCCTACTGCCTAAGAAGCCCTCAGGCCGAGCCTGCAGCCTCTGTGCCCTGTCCCCGAAGCTCGTCAGGTCCACGGCCAGCACGTCCCGTGCCACCTGAGTCCTCCGCACACCAACCCCCACAGTTACCCACGGAACGGGGGCCTCCAAGGCCACCGAGGACCAGCTCTCCACCCTCAGCTGTCTCAGCCCCGCCCAGGGCACATCCCCGCTACTCCCAGCGGCACCCGCAGCCCCTGCCTGGCAGGGCCGCCCCAGCGCAGTCTCTAGAAACACGGGTCGCGGCTGGAGAAACCATCCTGGCCAGCCCCTACCTCCCCTGCAAGGCTGACCTAGACCCTTTCAAGATGGGGCTCCCCAAACCAGGACCCACCCTCCCTACGCTTAGAAAGCACAGAAGGACACCCCTCAAGCTCATGGAGATGCCAAACCAGCGTGGGCCCCTGCCTCGGTGCCCGCCCCCACCCACCCTGGCCTAGGCTTGCTGGCTCTGGAAGCAAAAACCTCGAAAGCCCCCAGGGGCCCTCCACCCGCCCTGCGATCCCCTCTGCACCCCCTCTCCTCCCTCCCCGGGGTGAAGTGTCTCCTCCCAGAGCCTCTGCCACCACTGCGCAGGCACCGCCCCCTCTCTTCCTGCCCCCAGGTCCTCTCTGCTCAACCTGGAGTCTCCACCCCCCCCACCCCCACTCTCCCAGGAACAACCTGCCTCTGGTCACCTCTTTCTAGGAGACTCCTGGGCTCAGCATAGCATCCTCAGCACCGAACTGTCACCGTTCGCCCAGGCCCAGGCCTCCTGCCCTGCCTCAAGCCCCACAGAACCCGGCCACCCTAGCGCTGACCAGCACTCAGCCAATGGCCGCTCCCCGGCGCCCCCCACGACCACCACTCAGCCAATGGCCGCTCCCCGGCACCCCCCACGACCACCACTCAGCCAGCAGCCGCTCCCCGGCCCCCCCCCACGACCACCACTCAGCCAATGGCCGCTCCCCGGACCCCCCCACGACCACCACTCAGCAAATGGCCACTCCCCGGACCCCCCCACGACCACCACTCAGCCAGTGGCCGCTCCCCCCCCCCCCCCACGACCACCACTCAGCCAAAAACAGCTCCCCGGCCCTCCCATGGCCACTGCTCAGCCAACAGCACCCCCCATAACCACCACTCAGCCAATGACTGCTTCCTAGGCCCCCCACCTCTGCACTGTCCTTCCCACCACCTGGCCAAAAGTGACCCAATGAATGACCCCATAAGAGAGTTCATCTTTAACAAACACGGCAGAGTCTTTCTTTAGACCAGAGGTTCCACACCCTTCCAGGCAGATCTGCACCCACCCGCCCACCCATCTACATGCTGTCGGCCACCAACCATCCACCCAAATCCATCCACCTGCCTATCCATCCGACAAGCATCAGTGGAGCCCATTGGGAAGAGAGCCTGCGGCCCAGGCTCTGCCCTCAGAGAGCTCTGGGCCCCAAAGGGCAGGCGCGCTCAGGATGGACGGCTCACCTGGCGATCTCCGCGATCTCGGCCGTCTGCACAATAAAACCATAGGGGTCAGGGTCCTCCTCGTCGTCAGTGTCCCGGAGGCCGGGGGCCCGGGGTCGGGGCCGGCCGGAGCTGCCGGCCCGCGGGGTCTGCGTGGCGGCCGAGGTGCGGGCGCGGGCGTGTTTAGGGGAGCCGTACTCCTCCTCGGACGTGGATGTGCAGTCGGAGCCCTGCTGCCGCCGGCGCGTGCCTGGGCCGCGTGGGGCGGTTCCAGGAGCAGGAAGGGAGAGAGGAGCATTCAGCACCTGGCGCCAGCCCCAGGGCCCCCAGCACCCCCGACCGAGAGGCCGACGCGGGGGCGGGCAGCCCGCACCTCCACAGCCTACAGCTGGTCAGCCCCCGGGCGGCATCACGTCCTGTGCAGAGGGTCAGCGCCCTCGGTGGCAGGAAGTGGGGCCCACGGAGACCCCAAATCAGTGCAAACTCCCAACGTGGAGCAGCCCCAGCCCCGGACCCCAGCCCAGTCAGCCCACCAGCCCCTCCCTGGTCTTCTCAGACCTGACCCCTCCCCCACCCCCACGCACCCTGCCCTGAGGCCCCCCAACAGCGGCAAACACACCGGGGGTAAACACGGGGACAGGCAGTGGGCCCTCAGCTCTGGGCCGTACCACCCCTGCTCGTCCTCCCGGGGAGCCTGGCCCTCAGGACCCCTTGCCCCCAGCAGGGAGTGGGCACTGCCATGGCTCCCAGGGATCCAGGAGGCGGGGGGGTACCCCGCTGCGGCTACAGGAGGCCCAGGAGCTTCAAGGAGCTGGGCCAGCAGAGCCGATGCTTCAGTTCACTCAGGGACGGGCTCCCCAGCGGGAAGACATCGGGTCACCCTCAGGCAGGAGACAGGCGCCAGCTGCCACAGCACGGTCCGTCCTCACCGTACGTGCACACAGACCGAGGGCGGCCCAGGGGGCCCAGGGCCTCTGCCCGGGGGTGCGTGGGAGACTGACGTGGCCCTGCCCCCCTCCGCGGGCTTTGTGGGTGTCTGGGGAGCCCTCGCAGAGCACCCTCCCCGGCCCCCCAGGGCACAGCTCAGGCCTCCACCTGGGCCCACAAGCGTGCAGCCCAGAGTGCCAGCGAAGAGCGCACTGCCCGGCCCGCTGTCCGCGGCCACAGGGGCCTGCCTGGCGTCAGCGAGAGCCCCTGCACCCTGCAGCCTGGGCCTCACCGGAGGCTGGCTGCCCGCGCACGCGGGGCACAGGACGCCGCAGACCCGCTGCCCAGGCTGGCTGCCCCAGCACTCACCGGGCGAGGAGTACCGGGCGCTGCCCGGGCGGGCCCTGCTGAAGGGCTGGCGGGGCGCCGTGGTGGAGTTGGTGGCCTTCCTGGGGGCGGTCCGTGCCTCGGCCACGACGGGCTTGCGGCCAGCGCAGCACAGCTCAACGCTGCGGCCGGAGAAGCCGGCCCGGGCGGGGGTCGCCTCCGAGTCGCTGGGCCCCGTGAAGGAGCCGGCCCGCTTCCGGGGCATGGCCAGGACGTCCAGACGCGACAGCTTCTTGGCCTGCTCAGCAGCTGGCCGTCCCGCCGGCTCCGGGTGGGCTGGGGGTCCCCGCTCCCCGTCCGCAGCCTCTGTGTCTGAGGTGTCGCCCAGCCGGGCCCGCCTCAGCCGGGAGGCCCGAGTGGGCCGGGGTGTGGACAGGCTGTTGGACCGGGTCAGCACCTGCTGCAGCTTCTGGGAGCCGGCGGAGCCGCGGCCTTGCTCTTCCCGGGCAGCTGGAGACGGCAGCGGGGCCGCTGGCTTCCGGCGAGGCCCTGGCCGCCCTGTCCCGGCGGCCATGGGGGGCTCGTGGTCAGAGGTGACCGTGTCTGTGCCAGGCGGGTGGGTCAGGCCCGAGCCTCGTTCTTCGTCAGGCCAGTCTGAGGACACCCGGGGTCCAGGGCCACGCCGCACAGCCAGGCGCCTCACATCGGTAGGGCCCGGTGGGTGACGCTTCTCTGACAGCCTGTCCCGGGTGCTATTCGAGGACACAGTCCCCGTGTCCTGCGCTGCCGGCGGGGACGGTGGCTTGTCCTTCTGCATGCCCGTGGGCTGGGCGCCGGTCGGGCTGGGCCCGTTCTTACCACTGAGCAGGCTCACAGTGCTAGCTGTGTCCAGGTCAGAGTCCCCGGACAGGGAGTCCTCCGGCGGCCCGGGGGCACTGCCCGTCTCGCCCTCTGTTGTGTCCGTGGGCTTGGAAAGCAGTCGGGCCTCCAGGGCCGCCAGGGCCGTCTCTGTCTCCTTCAGAATCAGGTGGGTATCCTGTGAGTGGAGGTCCATGCGAGAGGCCCGGGCCGCAGCCAGGTCCTGCAGGAGGGGGTGGCTGGAGATGTGTGGGAGCTGGCCGGGCACCGGGGCGCCAGCGGCCGGCTCCTTGCTGAAGCTCTCCTGCCGCACCAAGGCCGGGGCAGAGCCCTCGGGCTCCGGGGACCGCCCAGTCCGCAGCTGGATGACCATCCTCCCGCTGGTGCTGACATAGACGCCATCCCTCGCCGGGGGGCTGGCCTGGGCCACCCGCCCTGGGCCCTCTACCTCCGCTGGAGCCACCGACGGTTTCTTGGGGAAGGCCGTCTCCCCATGCTGGTCCCCAATGAAGAAAGAGGTAGGGGCTGGCTCCCCGGGTGCCCTTGGTGAGCGCCGGCCCTTCGTCCACGCCAGTCCCTCCTGGGGGCTCCTGCGTCTCTCCTCGCAGGGGCCCCCGCCCAGCTCGGAGCCCCGCCCGCCGTCCGACCCACTGGCATCGCTGAGGCTGTCGGGCTCCAAGTCCTCCTGGCCCAAGAGGCAGCTGGCCTGCTCACTGCCCGGCTCCGGAGGCCCGGGGCCGCTCTTCCTGGCAGCCTCAAGGCCCCCAGGGCTGTCTGCACGGTCGCTGGGCAGCTGTGGGAGTAGCCGTCGCTGGCGCACAGGCAGGGCCCCCTCGAGCTCCCCGGCTCTGCGCCCAGGGCTCTCCTCTGCAAAGGCAAGGGCGAGCTGGTCAGAGTGGCCACCGGCCTGCAGGCCCTCGAGGCGGACAGGAGGCCGGACCCTCCTGCAGAGAGCTGGCACGCACTCACACCCGCACGGCGGAGCAGGGCCTGAGGCCACCCTCTCCCCACTGCTGGGCTGGGACCACTTACCTGCCAGGCCTGGGTCCGAGTAGCTGTCAGCCAGGCTGGCCCAGCGGGATACCCACTTCTGACCCCCAGGGGAGCCCGGTGCTGTGAGGCCCTGTGGAGCAAAGGGCGAGCTGTGTCTGCAGCAGCGGAGAGGCAGGAGCTCCCCGGGGCGGGGTGCTGGGGACAGCAGGGCAGCGCCCCAAATGCCTGGCCCAAAACACGCCTTCCCTGCACCTGCACCCCCCCCCAAGAGAGGTGGCCAGGAGACCCCCCCCTGCTGCTCCCCTGAGCTTATGGGACCCCACGTGACTACCAACACGACTACTTAGTCTGAGCCCGGTTCAGCGGCTCGGAGGTCAGTAGTCATGCCTCTGTCCTGCTCCTCGGACTCAGGCCAGCCCTGCCTGCGGACACACACGTACCCCGGGCCCCAACCTGACTCAGACTGAGGCACCTGCCCTTGAGGCCTCCACACAGGGGCCCTGCCCTCCCGCTAGGTGGGCACGCTACTCCGGGAAGGTTCAACCCAGCCTCACAGAGGGGCCTTCACGCAGCCCGGGCGAGGCCACAACGTTCGAGTACGTCCAGGCCCTGAGGATGGGCCCCAGCCTGGCTGCCGTCCACCCGCGCCCGGCCCTCCCCAGGGCAGTGTGAGTCCCACATACCTGGAGCCCCCCTTGCGGATCCATGCCCACTGGCCGGGAGGCAAACTCCTGCAGGAGGGCCATGCGCTGGGCCACCCCATCGCCGGTCACGTCTCTGTCCCCTCGGATGACCGGACGGAAGGTGGCCGAGGGCACCCTGGAGAACTCAGGAGACTCGAGTACCCCAAAGACCTGCCAGGGGACGGTGGGGCCCAGGTCAGCAGCAGCACCCCCGCAGCCGGCCCCGGCCCCGCCCCCGCGCCCCCTGTGACCCCCGTGCCCGCCCAGCAGACCTGGTCGATCATCTGGCGGGCCTCCTCCACCTCCGGGTCCTGCGCCTCCGTCTCGATGGTGTAGGTCCCCGCGTCGCTCAGGCTGTCGTCCTCATCCTGTTTCCGAGCCTTGGTCAGCTGGGGGTCAGCGGGGGGCGGCGGCGGGGTCGCAGGGGCCACGGGGCTGGCCCCACGGGGAGTCTCGGGGGCGGGCGACGCTGGGCGTGCCTTGTCGGGGCCGGGCCGGGCGGCCGGGGAGCCGTCCCACGGGCACTGAGCCATGAAGTCCTGGGCCAGACGGGAACGGCGCCCCACGCTGCCGAAGGGCCGCGGCGAGGCCCGGGGAGCGGGCGAGGACCCCCCCGGCCGCTCCTCTGTCCTCTCCCGCTTGAGTGAGCTGGCCCGCTGCGGCCCCGCAGCGCCGCCCGTCCCCCGCGCCGGGGCCGGGGCCCCTGAGCGGTCCCTGTCAGCCGGCGCAGGGCCCCGGCGCTTCTCGGCCTTGGGGTCCCCGGCAGGGGTGTGCGTAAAAGACTGGGAGCGCTTCTTGCGGGGCGTGTCCTGGTCGAAGAACTCGATGACGAAGGCCTGCTGGTTGTGCAGCAGCTCCTGGGGGTCCCGCTTCAGCTGCCTCTGCAGCCGCGCCTGCGCGCCCCCGCCCTCCGCAGGCGCCCCGGCCGCCGCCGCCCCGGCCGCAGGGTCCTCCGAGTCACTCTGTGTGCCGTCCTCATGCTTGTGGCCTGGGAGGGGGGACCCCCGGCCGTCACACATGCCCGGGGACCCAGCGCCCCACGCCCCGCCACACACAGCTCCCGAAACACGCTCGGAGGCCCCCTGCGGGGCAGGTCCAGTGCCATCACTGCACGCGGGAAGTCAGTCGACCCGATTTGGGCGCCCGGGGGGTGGGGGGACTGTGGAGCGGTCCCGGAGCCCGTGGAGGGCCAGCCGGCCGGCACTCACCCTTGAGGGTGCGGGTGTGGACGGGCAGGTCGCTCTTGGTGCTGTGGCGGTCGTCGGCGGGGCCGGCGCGGCACAGCAGGCTGCGGTCGTTCTGCACCAGCCAGTCGGCCACCTTGGTCTCCGCGGAGACGGCCTCCACGGGTGTGGTCTCCTTGCCAGGGGGCCTCCTCTGGCGCAGGGAGAACTTGGTGACGTGGTCCTTGATCTTCACCTTGCCGGGGCTGCAGTCATCAAACTCGATGGTGAAGGAGGCGTGGCTCTGTACCACGGGGGCCACGCCGCCCACGCCCGGCTCCACGTCCTTGGTGGGGGCCTCCTGCGCCGGCGCCTCGGGGGGCCGTGGCGGCGGGGCCTCCTTCGTGGGAATCTCAAAGTAACTGGGCTCCCGCCGGAACGAGTAGCTGGGAGGCTCTGCTGTGGCCCGGAAGCCGCCCATCGTCGCGGCCAGCTCCCTATCCTGCTGTGTCAGCGCCTTGGGCCGCTCTGCGTGGCGAGGGTGGGGGTTCGGTCATGTCCTTGGGGCTGCAGGGCGGCACCCTCACCCCACCCATGTCTGCCAGCTGTCTCCCCGAGGGGGGTTCTGGGGACACACCTGGGTCGGGCTCCTCTGGGCGCCGGTCCTCACGCGAGCTCTCCCCCTCATCCTCGCCCCACCAGGAGGGCTGCCCATACAGGGGGGTCCGGTAGGCTGCTGCCTCTGCACGGGGGCGACAGGCCCACCCTGGGTCACGGGCACCGACACAGACAGGGAGGGAGACGCGGAGCTGGGGAAGACACTGGGCTCTGGAGCGGCCCCGCATCAGTCCCCGTCTCAGCCCTGCGGCTGCCCAGGGCCCTGCCTTAACTCCTCCGACCTGACAGCTGCACAGAGCACAGGACACTGGCTTCCCCCCGCCCTGCCCAGGCCCCCCTTGGGGGCAGGACCCCCTCCAGCCGGGTTCAGGCCTCCCTCCACGTTCCCCAGGGAGGACAGGAGTCCACACTCCAAGGCTCTGGAAGGGGCTCAGGCCACAAGGGGCCCTGAAGGCTGGGCCCACTGCAGGCTGACCGGACCACGGGGGGCACAAGCGTGCAGCGTGCACAGGTGGGTGCAGGTGGGGGACGCACAGGTGCCTGGGTTCACACAAGAGCAGGTCTGTGCCGCGGGAGCCCAGGAGGCTGGGGGAGGGGGGAGGGTCCATGCTGGGGGGGGTCCCCCCATGGGGCAGTCCTGTGGGGGGCCTCAGTGCTGTCCTACCTGCTCCCGGCCTCCGGTCCCCCCTCTCCGGCCTGGGGCTTGAGGACTCGCAGTAAGGGGCGTGCTGGGGTAGCGCTTCGCCCTTCCTGGGCGCCGGGCCCTTGACGCTCACCTGCAGCTGGCTAGTGTACTTCTCGTGCTGCGGGAGGCGAGATGGGGGTGAGGGCAGGGGCGAGGGTGGGGGGGAGGGGGGCGCCCAGGGCGGCCTGCCTCCCTCTCCGTCCAGAGGGGGCCAGGACTGGCCCCACACACGAGGTCTCCTTCACGACCCCCACAGAGCTGGCAGCCTGAGGCCTAAAGCTGGGGGTCCCTGCCCAAGCCTGAGGGGAGGGATCCTCAGGGCCACAAAGCTCCCAGGAAGGAGGTGGGGGAGCAGGCAGGGGTGGGCAGCAGTCATCAGAGGGGACATGCACCCCCCCAGGCCCACCAGTGAGAGAGGAGGGACAGGCCCCAGGGCACGGAAGGGGGGAGCAGCAGTCTATCTGAACAGACCGAGCACACGAATGCTAGTTGGCACACGTGCGTCTGTGTGTGTGTGAGTGTGTGAGTGCGTGTGTGCGTGCGGGCCCCCTGGCTGAGCCCCGTGGTTAGAAACCAGCCTCACGCTGGCCGGTGGCTCTAGGCCGGCCACCCTCATGCCTGATGCTGCCCACAGACGGGGCTGAGGCTGGTCTCCCCCACACGAGCTCCTGGGTAAAGCAGGGGGTGGGGTCCCCCAAGTCAGTGCTCCAAGGCTCCCACGTAAATGCGCAAGGGGAGAGGATACAGCCGGCCTGTTGTGCCCCTCCCCGAGCCCCTCAAGCCCTGACCGAGTACCCAAGGGCCCTACAGGGCTGTCCCCAAATGCTGACCCCTCCTGGTCTCCACCTGCAGTAGCCTGCTTCGGGACCCCCTCTCGGCCTCCCCTCCCCCCTCCCCCCTCCCCCCCACAGCAGCCTCCTCTCCGTGCCCAGCACCCGGCCCGAGGGGGAGTGACTATCGTCCCCACTTGTCAGACCAGGCCGTCCGGCAGGACAGGCCCCACCAGCCTGGGCAGCTCCCGGCACCGGCGCCAGGCCAAGGGAGCCAAGAGACTGGGGGTGCTGGCCCAGGGGGGCTGCGGGGTGCAGGGGCCTCGTGAGGGGAGGCTGGGCTGAGCACTGACCCTGAGCGCCTCCTCGGGGACCCGGTGCTGCACTCGCTCCAGCACGTACATGTTGGAATGTGGCCACGAGTCAAGGCAAACCCGGAGCAGCAGAATCAGAGGAGGGCACGGGCCTCCAGTACAGGCGCTCTCGGCAGGGAGGGGGTGGGCAGCTCAGAAGGGGGCGTGTGCTGCCCCTACACCTGCATGTGCACCAACGGCCTGCAGGCCTCGCTGCCCAACTCGGAGGCAGGACGCAGCCCGCTCAGGATCCCAGTGCTCACCCCGCTAGGGCCGTGAACACGCCCTCTACACGCCCCCCGCAGCCCAGGGCAGGGCAGGCAGGTGAAGGCCTCGGGGGCCCTGGCACACAGCTAGCTCCCGGCTTCCGTCCCAGACCACCCCTCAGCCCTGGCCCCCCTGTGCTCTAGGGGTGGGGAGGGGAGGGCTCAGCCAGGGGCTGCAGGTGTGGCCACGTGAGCCCGGCCGGGGCGGGCAGAGAGGATGGGCCCCAGCTGCGCACAGGTCCCCAGGACAACCACCCCACTCCCACCTGCTCTGGGCACAGAACGCCAGGCCTGGGCAGTGTCCCAGCTCGCCACCGGGTCCCCGGGAGGCCGCACTTGCTCCTGGGGCCCAGCGTCAGCTCAGAGCTGGTGGGAGGCAGGTCCCCAGGACTGGGGCCTCTGTCTGGGGAACAGGGGGCAGAGGCCAGGCCGGAGCCCAGGTTGACGCCCGCGGGCCATGAGCACAGAGCCGCTGTGCCCAGCAAGGCCCCTAATGCTGCCAGGACAACGGGGGGCCTGGGCCAGAAGGAGGGGCACAGCCTGGAAAGGATATCGTAGCCGAACCGGATGACGTCATGGAGCTTCAGTGTGACGTACTTCTGGTCCGGGATGCGCACGTCATTCACGAATGTCTGCGGGGGTGGGGGGGGGGGGCAGCGCCAAGTCAGCAGGAGGCAGGGCCGCAACTCAGGAGTCCCCTGCTTCCCCCACTGCTCTGGGCCGGGTGCTGTCCCTCTGACACATGTGCACCCGGCCTCAGCCCTGAAGGGACCACAGGGCAGGCAGCCGCCGAAGGACCGGCCTCACCGTGCATCCGGGTCCCTCAGGTGGCCCACAGCGCCCTTGGCAGTGGCCGGGGCACCCGCAGGGCAGCCGTACAGCAGGGCTGGGCTGGCTGTGCGAGCCACCCGCTCCCTGGAACCCTCTCCCCCGGCCCAGGGACTTCTGGCTGGCTGGCCGCCGGCCGCCGCGCCGGGACCAGATGAGTGAGGAAGCCCAGCTCGCTGAGGGCCCCTGGGGCAGGCCAAGGTGACAGAGGGAAGACAGGCGTGGCTCAGGCGCGGTGAGCGTGCCAGAATCTGGCAGGGGAAGCGAGGGGCGTGTTGGGAGCCAGGCGGGGGGCAGATCCACGGGGAAGTGTCCCAGGCCAGGCCTCTATCGTGCAGACACAGGGAGGGTGGCCACCTTGCTAGAGGCGGAGCAGAGCAGGCTCAGGTTGGACACGTGTGAGGAGGAGTCCTCGAGCCCCGAGCAGGGAGCGGAGGAGGCAGGGCTTGCGCGGGGGCAGCGGGGAGGCTCTGCAGACACGCCCTGCCCGCCCTGGCCTTGGCTGTGCTTGCTGTCACGTGGGCGGGCAAGAGTTGGCCCCAACTTTGTGGACATCACAGGCCTTTGAGGATGGGGGGCACCGTCCAGGCAGCAGCCCCGGGACCCTCTCAGCGCCCGCGTGGCCTGGGGGCCGGTGCCCTGGTGCAGCCCACATGGGCGGAGGCCATGCTCACGCCCGCGCAGCCGCACCCGGGTAGGCCCAAGCGAGGAGGGGCTGGGGGCCGACCCCAGCACGGCCTGCGAGCCCCCGCCCTGTGTGCTGGGTGCGGACGGCCAGCGTGCTCAGCACTCGCCAGCCACAGGCTACTGTGGGGCCCCCGGCTCAGGACGGAGGACAGGCCCTCGGGCGGGCAGCCTCCACTGCAGCAAACACAGAAACGACACGCCGGACAGACAGTGCGCCCTGGAGAGAGCCTTCACCGGACCGCCCCTGCCCCCTGCCCACAAGAGGCCACACGGCCCCGGGACAGGGTACCCCAGCAGACGCCCCATCACGTGAGCAGACCCACCCCCAGCCTGCAGGTGGTCCAAGGCCTCCAGTGCCCACCCTCGGGCCCCTGCCCGCAGAGCAGCCCTGCCCAGGGGAGGGGGCTGTGGGGCCGCGGCGCCTGCAGGCGACTTCCTCCCCACCTGAGCAGCCGTTCCAGGAGGCCAGGTGGGGGCGGAGCAGTGGAGGGACGGGGCCCCGGGGGGGGGGGGCACAGAGGGTCCCTTGCACTCACCCCGTTCAGGCTGCCCAGGTCCTTCACCCAGTGCTCGTCCCTGTCCCGGTCGTAGTTGATGACCGCATGCTGCTTGTCCACGCTTCGGGACTGGGGACACAGGCAGCCGTCAGCGGCCGGCCGGCTAGGTGAGGCCCGGACGCAGGGGCGCCCCCAGTAGCAGCCCCCTCCTCTCCTTCCCCCCCCCCCCCGGACCAACACCAGCCAGCTGGGCCTCGGGGCCCACGGGGTCCTACCCACGCCGCCCACGTGCTGCGTACGTGCGGCCCAGAAAGCCCACCCAGCCTGACTGCGCTCGCTGTCCCAGCCACGGGAGTGGGCCACGGGGATCTGCCGAGATGCCAAGGCAGGGTCCGCCCGCCCCAGTGCTGCCCCCGGGGCCTCTTCCTGTGCCCAGCCCTCCGCAGCATCGACAGGCCAGTGCTGCCCTCGCCCCAGAGGCTGCTCCTGCGCCAGCTGGGAACCCTCTGGTCACCGGGCACCTGCTGATGTTCACCTCCAAGGGCAGGTGTGGGCAGGCGGGTGGGGGGCCTCCCCCAACTCCTGGTCAGCCCAGGGGCACACAGAGACACGACGCCTCTCAGGCCCCACAGCCACGTGCTGCACGCACCCGGCTCACACGCCCCGAGCACACCCAGCCGCACACACGCACACGCACATCGGTGCTCCCACACTGAGCACCTCTCCCAGGCCGCCACCCCCTCAGGAGCCCTCCCGGGACGGGCACCCGGTCCCTCGCACGGGCGGCCAGAAGCACACAGGCAGACCCTCGTCCCCCTCTTGCTGCCAGGCCAGCGGTACGGAGGCTGGGCCCCCCAGCCACGAGGCCAGAGGTCCTGGCAGCGGACACACCACCCACACTGCCGGAGGCCCTGGGCGTCCGGGTGGCCCCTGCGTCCCTCTCTCGCCACCTGAGGAGACCCAGCTGGGACCGGCCAACCCGGGAGGTGTCCAGAGCGGCCTGGACACAGCATGTGGCCCTGCGTGCCAGCCGGGCCGTCCCTCCACAGGGCACCACGCCTGCCCCCAGGGCCCGTGAGAGGGCGGCCCAGGACCCGAGTGTCCCCGTCGCCATGGACGAGGCTCGTCCGGTCTCACAGGTGAGTCCCCAGACCTCCCCTCCCCGAGACGGCCGGCCCCCCGGAGCCCACCTCCTCTCTGGCGCTCTCCACTGCTCAGCCCCTCTGGCTCCAGGCCAGGCCCCAGCACTTCCCACAGACTAGAAGCCCCTAGGCCGGGCCTCCTGCCTCATCCAGACACCCAAGGGCACAGCAGGGTGGGGGTGGGGTGGATGTGGGCTCTGGCCCTGCCCTGCCCCAGGTCACTCCGCTTGGCAATGGGCGGAGTGCTGTGGAGAACAGACTGGAGCAGGCGGGGCCCCAGACCTGCCTGCAGTCAGAGGCCCCGGGGGGGTGGGGGGGTGGCGGCAGCCTGACCCACAAGGATGCTGCTGTAGTGGGGTCCTGGGGTGGAGAGGCATTAGGAGGGGAGGGGGCGCAGGACTGCGGTCCTCTGGAAGGAAGCAGGGCTGCAGGGGCGACCCAGAGGGCACAGCAGCCTGCGGGGCCGTCCCTGCACCATCGAGGGAACCAGGGAGCCACGGGGAGCCCTGTGCCAGCACGTGCCCGGAGAAGCCCCCGGCTGAGAGGGGCGAGGCTCCTTGTGCCAGTGCATCTGCTTCCCACAGCAGCGCGCCTCTGACCGGGTGAGCCTAACCTTGAAACCTGCCGCCTTACCCCCCAGGCCTCACTTCTGCCCCCCGGCCTGAATCATTCGTCCAAAGTGGGCACCCAAGGCCAGCCAGCTCCTGCCCACCCCCACCCCCCGTGACAGCCTCCCTCCTAGATGCCGGGCACTCACTCCCACCCCCCACAGCGAGCCCTAGTGCCCTGCACTGCAGCCCCCGCTGGCCCTGGCCTGGGCCTCCCCCCCGCCCCCCGGCACAGGGCTTGCTGGGGGACACCGGCGCTCCCTCACCTGGGCCTCGGGCCCCTGGCTGCAGGTGGGGTCAACAAGGACAGCCGTTCTCTGGGGGACCTGAGTGCTCGGCCTGCCTCACCTCAGGCCAGGTAACCTCCCTCCCGCCGTGGTTCCTGAGAAGCCTGGTGCTTGCTGGTGGGTCTGGGGGCTCGCCTCCTCCTGCACCCTCTCCCAAGCTCAGCCCAGGGCTCGAGGACAGGCCAGCTACCCACCTCAGGCCTGCTGGACACCCTGGGTGCCACAGGGACCTCCCCCCCTTCTCTGGAAAGTGAGCCTGGAGCCAGGCCTTGCCCTCTTCGCAGCTGGGTATCAGATTGGGGGGGGGTGGCTACAGGCGCGGAAAGGGCACTGGGAAGTGGCGAGCCACAGGGGCCCTGCCCCTCACACCAGGAGGCGGTGCCACACGGGGCCAGCCCGAGGCAGCAGCAGGGGCACGCTGTCCCTCAGGCCTGGAGGCCACCTTTGCTGAGGACTAACCCCTAGAGGGGCTTCTGGGCTGACCCCCGAGCCGGAGCCCTCTTCCCTCCCCAGGCCTCACACCCCCAGCTCCTGGACATGTCCCTGGCCACCTTCCGGGCAGCTCAAGCCCAAACCTGACTCCTCCCTCCTGCCCAGGGGCCTATAAACTTCCTGCCCCCAGCTGGGGGAACCCCTGACCCCGCCCTGCCCTCCTGCCTCCAGCTGGGGAACCCCTGAGCCCGCCCTGCCCTCCTGCCCCCAGCTGGGGGTCCCCCTGACCGCCCCCCATCCTCCTGCCCCCAGCTGGGGGAACCCCTGACCCCCCCCGCCCTCCTGCCCCCAGCTGGGGGTCCCCCTGACCCCGCCCTGCCCTCCTGCCCCCAGGCTCCCGCTCGCCTTCCTCCTCCCCCGTCCCCTCCACAGCCACCTTCCTCCTACTGTCTCAGCCCCCACCGGTCCTGCCATCTTTCTTCTGCAGAAACTTCCCGGTGCTCCCAGCCGGCTGGAGAGGAAAGGCTGGTCTTGTCCCGTGAGCCACAGGCCCCAGAGGCCTCTCCAAACCCGCCCCGCCCCGCCCCCCGCTCCTCGGACTCGGCACGGTGCCCTCATCTGCACCCAGGGCCTGGATCCAGTCCCAGCCAAGGCTCCAGAACCAGGATGGATGGGGAGGAGGCGGGGAAGGACCCCAGCTCTAGAAACCTCCCTCCCAGCCCTGACACCCCATGCCCGAAGCAGACCCCAATTCCACCCCCCTGGGTGTTCAGAGGCTGAACATCCACCCATGGGAGGGGGAGGCGGCCCCTTGGCCCCCAAGCCGAGACTTCACAGGAATAAACCAGGCCCTGGGGAGAGCAGCCTCGCCACGCACGCACGACGAAGCAGTGGAGCGCACCCGAAAGATGGCCCTGGAAGCTGCAAGCGTTTAGATTTTTGGAAAAGGCTCTAACGACGTTTAACTTCAAAACTAAAGATGTGCCTCCAGACTCCGTGTCTGACTTGTGCGGGAGGAAGCCTGCCGGCAGGCTGATCCCAAACACAGCCACAGCCCAGGGCTCCGGGCACGCCCTTAGCCAGCCCACGGGCACCCACAGGGGACCGGCTCAGCCCGCCCTGGGCGCAGGGGCTCCTGACCCCACCCACCTGGGGCTGGGGTTTCTGTCAGAGGATCTGACCAGACAAATCCCAACAGGCTCCTGCTGGGCAAACTGGGCAGAAGCAGAGAGGACACCTAACCACAGGCACACACGTGCATGCAAACACGTGCACACAGAGACGCGCGTGCCCATTACGTCCACGTGTGCACACGCACAGGGCCCGCACGACAGCACTCGGCCCCCCAAGGGGCCACAGCAGGCAGCCCTGGGCCCGCGTCCACACTCACGTCTGTGTTATTTAACGCACCCTGGAGGGGCACCAGCTCTGTGCCAGGCTTGTGCGGCATGGACGCTGCGGTGAGCTACCCGCAGGCCGCGGGAGAACGCGGGTGCACGTGGCCAGGCTGGCCGCCTCTGCCCCCAGGTCCAAGGCGCAGCCCCTCCTGCCTAATCTGTAGCACAAGCCTCCGAACAGCCCTGTGCTCCCCGCCTCCTCCCTCTGCCCGTACAGAGGCCCCAGCCTGCCTGGCACCCCTGCCGGCTCCCAACGCCCCTCCTCCTCCCGGGCGCTCGGCCCCACGGTCCCCATCCTGTCCCCAGCGCCACCTCTTTCGGGTTTCTCCCCTAGGGAATCATCTGGTCCCACTTACATGTGTGTGGCCAGCGACCCCCCCGGACTGCTGACCCCGGGGGGCAAGGTCCCTGCGTGGCCGTCCCAGCCGGGACGCGGCGGAGCTCCATCACAGCTCTTAAGTCACGAACGTAGGAATGAAGGCAAGGACAGTGCAGAGGGAAAGCCCGGGCCCTCGGGGAGCACAATGCAGGGAGAGGCGAGGAGGGCTGGCGGGCGAGGATAAGCAGGTGAGGGCGCCTGAGGAGGGGCTGGGATGCGGCACGGGGGGTCCCGGAGAGCCCGGGCAGGGCAGGGCGAGGCTGGGGCCCGGGTGGAGTGGTACCTGCAGGGCCCGAAGCACAGGGGAGAGAGGGGAGGTCAGGGCTTGTCCCTGGACCACGATGGGGACCCTGGCGGGGACCCGGGTGGAGGCAACCGAGGACGACGGGTTTGCTCAGCGGCACACGGGCTGGGCTGCCTCTGTGGTGTCCGAGCAGACTATGGACATGGGGGCTGGAGGCTGGGGACAGGCAGGCATGGGATCCACACCGGGGTGCGGACAGGACCCCAGGGAGGTGCAAGCGGCAGACGAGCCCGGTGCACTCAGGGTCCGGGCAGAGAGAGAGGCCGCGGGGGTGACGGCACCCCCGCGCGAGCTCCTGGAGCCTCCGTGTCCCCACGCGCCGGAGGCCAGCAAGGAGGGCGCCACGGGCACCCAGGCCGGGCTGGCCCCGCACGGAGGCCTGAGAAGGCCCGGCTGCTGCCCGCTCGGGCTCCACTGCTGGCTCGCCAGAACTAGGGAGCGGGCCCCAAACTCCCTCCGAGCCCCCGACCCTCTGTCCCCGGAACCCAGAAGCCTCTCCACCAACACCTGGGGAGGAGCCAGCAGAGGGAGGCCCGGTGCGGGGGGACAGAGCCAGGCAGCAGGCAGAAAGAACACCCAGAGGCCCAGGATCCACGCCCCTCATCCGGCGCTGCCTCCTCCAAGAGGCCCTCCGGGCCGCCCTAGGGAGCCTGGCAGAACCATCAACATGCCACCCAGCACCGCGCCGGGGGCCACAGCAACAGCAACCAATGCGGTGAGCCCGGAGCCAGCACACTTCCGGGTCACCTCCCACGACAGAGCGGGGGTCACGTCCCACACCAGCCCCGAGCAGCAGCCACGTCCATACCCACACGAGCGCCCACAGCTTCGTGTGGACTGAGTGCCGTGTTGTTTATACTGGTACTCGGTCTCTGGAGACCAAGACCCCTCGTGACCTGTGAGGACGGTGCGAGGCTGCAGCGTCGACGCCCATGAGGAATGTTCTGGTGCAGCTGCGGCAGCTGGTTTCCGGCCGCCAGGCTGCTGCTTCCGGACCAGGCACAGCGGGGCAGCGGCTGTGGGGCTGTGCAGCCCGAAAGGCCCCAACGGAAGCCAGGGTCTTACAGAAGGCACGTGCGCACCCTGTGCAGGGTCACCAACTCGCTCTCTCCGGCCTCCAAAGGCGTGAAGAGAAACATGGGGACGGACAGTTCCAGATCAAAAACACCCAAGAGGCCCAGAGACCACACACGACGTGGGAACTTCAGGCCAGTCAGGGGGCCTTGGGGAGAAGCCTGGGTGTCCAGACGGGGTCGGGCCTGCCCTTGGGGGAGGAACACACGTGTGCTGCCCCCGTGAATGTGCACATGGCCGGGACCCCCGTCAGTCCGCAGCCCCGCCCCACGCGTCCTGGGGAACAGGTAGCAGCAGCCAGGTTTGCACAAGGGACCCAGGGCCCGAGCAGCCAGTGTGCACCCAGGACACCTGTTTCCCACTGAGAGTCCCACAGTGGGTGGCAGGGGGCTTGAGGGGCTGGGGGCAGGGGCCACAAGGCGTCAGGGCTGCGGCAGACGACTCCGTCACACCCATGAGGGCAGGCAGGGCAAAGGACCCCTTGCTAGGGTGACACAGGCTCGTCCGCCTCCTTCCTCCTTGTTGCCAAGTAGTCAGAGGTGTGAGCCCCATGAAAGCCAAACTCAGACCCCAAAACCCAGGGCCTGAGAGAAATTCCTGATTGTCAAGCACACGGAGCCTTGGCTCCACCAGAAAGCCTCCTTCCCCCCGCAGGGTGCTTCAAAGGGCTGCCCTGGACAGCTCTCGTGGTCAGTACTGGCCCTGTGGCTCCCCACGTGGCTCGTGGCCCGGGTGAGGTCCCCAGCCAGCAAGAATATGGACAGATGCACTTTCTAGCACCTTCCAAACGTGGGTCCCTGACACCTTAAGAACCTTATAGAAGCCTAAGCATCTTCCGGTCAGAAGGCTCCAACGCGCAGACACGGGAACCAGCCCCGTGCGCACGCTCCGGCCTGTCCACACCCAGCGCACCCGGAGCCTCTCACCAGGTGTCCTGCAGCAGCAAGTTGGCTGGTGTCCCCCCTCAGCCCCCTCCGTCCTTCTCAGCCCAGAGACCCCCCCCCCACACTCACCTGCAGCATCAGCTCGCACTCATCGCGTCCCACAAAGATGAGCTCCCGTGGGAGCCGGTGGCGGGTGCCGCCGCTGCTCACCAGGAACCAGGACGTGACACTCATCTTGGCGCAGGGAGGCCCGTCTGGCCCTGAGGGGAGGAGGCGTTGGGCAGGCGTCCCTCCCGGGCCCCCGCTCCAGGGCCCCCACGCTGAACCGGGGACCTGCTTCCCTGGCTGAGGGCAGGAGGGCCAGGGGGAGACAGCGGAAGACAGGGGCCCGGAGCCGTCAACACGCCTGTCACTCTGGTCTTGCTGGCCACCACAGCCAGCCTGCAGAGGTGCCCAGGCCAGAGCCAGGCGGCCAAGGGATCTGGCGGCCCCTCCAATGCCCAGGAGGGAGGTGCTTTGGTGCCCAAGGTCCTGGGCCGTTGGTGGAGGAGGGGTGTAAGGGACTGGTACGGTCAAGACCGGCAGGGAGGCAAAGGCAGGTGTGCGGGCACAGTGGGGGCAACGAGGTCACCAGTGTCACCCTGACGCCAGGCCCTGGGCAGCTGGAAGCCCCCACGCAGCCAGCATGCACCGTCACCATCACGCAGCGCCCCGCCCCTGGGGGGCCCCCGGAGCCAAGCTGCGCCAACACAGCAGCTCAGGCGCATGGGCTCCAAACACGCACACGCACTCACGGGACACACGTGCGCACACAGACCGCACACACCTGGGGCAGGCCTACAGGCGTCCTGGCCCCTCTTCTCTGCACAGACACGCACACTGCTGAAACACACACACGCACACGCTGGGGCTAATCGTACCCTGAGCGCTGCGCGCCTGGGCTCCGGGATGGCTGTGCGCTGCATGGGGGCTACCTCCAGCTCGGGGGGGGCAGGCAGCAGGGCTGGGGGCTCTGAGGAAGTGTGAGTGTCCCAGGGGAAGCAGCAGGGGAGAGGGATGGGGGGCGATGGGAAGCTGACATGTGAGCAGCACCAGGAGGTGGATGTGCACGTCTGGCGGGCCGTGTTCCGGCAGGGGGACAACCAGCACGGAGATGCGGGTCCCAAGGCCGGGGGTGACCTGCAGCTGGAGCGGGGGGGGGGGTGTGGGGAACAGCGCGAGTGCACGGGCGTGGGTCCGGTGGGCGCCTGCGCGGCCAGCCCTGGAGGTCCTGAGGCCACGATGTAACTAAAGGACACAGCCTGGACGAGAGGTCAGCAGACGGGGGTGCAGCAACAAGGGGGAGAGGGGGTGGTGCCGACACCCTGGTGGAAACAGATGGGTCCCCAGGCCCTGTCCCTTCGAAACCTGCACCCAGGGGCCCAGGTCTCAGCTCCCTTCTGGGAGGACAGTGAGAAAGGCCAGTACCAGCACACGCCAGTCTGGGAAGGCCCCAGTGACCATGTGTCCCACCGCATACCCTCCTGTCACCTGGGCAAGCAGGTGGGAAGGCGTGGGAAACCCCAGCCCAGACAGCAGCCCCCGTCCACCTGAGCCCCTCCCTGGGGCCCCGGGAGCGTCCTCAGAATCCAGCCAGAGGGGCAGGAGACAGAGGCCAACGGGGTGGGGACCTCCACGCCCCGGGGGACCTCCCTCATTAGGGCAGCCGGGGGAGGGGACAAGGCCCTGTCTGGGAGAGCCCCCACCCCATCATTGCATTCCCCAGCCTCCACATCCCACACTCTCCCATCACCGGCCACGGCTCCAAAAGGCAGCGACCCCACCCAGAGGAGGCCACAGCCTCGGCTCACAGTAAAGGGAGGCCAGGCCCTCAGAGCCTGGCTATGCAGCCTGCCGCAGGCGGCCCACCCCTGCCACCAGCAGCCCATCCTAAAAGGGCTCAGGCCAGGGGAGCGGTGGACGTTCCCAAACGGCCCGCAGCCGGGTCGGGGCTGGGCTGGCCACCACCGTTGCCAGGAGGGAGAATAATAAACACCCCAAACTTGTCCCCCCGGCCGCCCCAGCCAGGAGGTGAGGAGGGAAGGTGGAGCCGCGCGGGGGCAGGGGCCGGGAGCGGCGGGGGCTGGGGCGGGCGGGCAGCTGAAAAGAGCAGACGGAACGGAGGCCGCGAACAGGCCGGGAGAGGAGGCAGCGGCAGCGGAGAGACGGCGGCGACACGGGAAACGAGGAGGAGGGAGGGACCGCGGGAGGAGAGACCAGGCCAAGCGGCGGCCGGGCCCGGAGGGGGAGGGACGGGCGCCTTCTGAATCAGCGCTCGCCGGGGCAGCCATGGCCGAGCCGGTGCCTGGGCGGGGACCCCGGCGCCCAGGCCTGCGCGCCCCTCTCCAGGCCGCGGAGACGCGCACCGGGCGCCCCTCCCGGCCTGGCGCAGCCCCGGGCCGCCTCCGCCGCGGAGGGGACCGGCCCCGCCAGGTGAGCCCGCGGCCGGCCGCCCGCCCCACTCCTTTGTCCCGCCCGGAGGGGACCTGCCCCCCGACCCTCCCCGCGGCCCCGGCCCCCCGCCCGCCTCCATCCCCGCGCGGCGCCGCAGGCGCAGGTGCGGGCGCAGGGAGGCCCCGGGCTTACCTGCGGCGCGGCCCCGGCCCTCCCGCCCGCACCTGCCGGCCGAGCGCTGGGCGGGGCCGCCGCCTAGGACATGCCCGGCGCGGCCCGCACGCTCGCGGCAGCCCCGGCCGAGCCCACGGGCGGAGCGGCGGCCCCGCGGCCTGGCGCGCGGGTCCCTGACGTCTGCGGGCGCGCGCCCCGCCCCGCGGCCCCGCCCCCGGCCCGCCCCGCGGCCCGCCCCCCGGAAATCCAGGTTAGGGCGGGACCCGGCGCCAGGTGGCCCCCGCCCCCCCCCCCCACTAGCTCCCCCGCTGCCCGCAGACCCCTCCCCTCCCAGTGTCCGTCCGGCCCCGGCCTCGGCTGGGGGACCCGCCCCCGCGTGCCCGGCGGAACCTAGGGCCCCGAGCAGCCCGCAGTCCTGGCCCCGGGCCCGCGGGTTAAACGCTTCAGCCGCTCCGGGAGCCCTCCCGGCCCCTAACCTTGAGCCCCGCCCGCCCAAATGCGGGTGGGGCTTGGGGGAGGGGGAGGGAGTCCCAGGGCCCCACCCGGGCCTCCCTCCCGCGCCCCCAGCGCCTGGGCCGGGGGCAGGGGTCGTGGGCGCCGGCGGTGGGTGGAGGCGAGGGTGCGTCGGGCTCCCGCGAGGTGCTCACCGCTCCGCGCCGGGCCCACGGGCTGCTGGCTCCGTGCTGCGCGCTAACCGCCACGGCGTCGTGGCCCCGGAGCTGGGAGACGGGAAGGGCTTAGCCCCGCGGCGGGCCGGCCCGCGGGCCTGCCTGCCAGGTGCGGGGAGCGCCCTGTGCGGAGGTGAGGGCGCCAGCGGGCGGGGGCCGGGGAGAGGGTTGGGAGGGCGCGGTGCTGGCGAGCCTGGGCTTTGGGGCCGGACGGCTGGAGCCACTGGGCATTCACTGCTGCGACGGTGCCGTCGGGCGCCCTCCTGGTCGTCAGGCCCTGACCTGGGGGTGGGGGCGGGAAGAGAGGCACACACACACCCTGGAGTGTGGAAACCCACCCGCGGTGGGCAGGGCTAGGAGAGAGCGGCCAGCACACAGGACTCCTGGGGAGCAGCGAGAGCACCCTGGCCCAGCTGGAGGGGAGAGATGGGTGGGGGGAGGCAGGCCCCGGGAGGGACCTGCAGCTGTGTGAGCAAGGAGTTTGGACTTCATCCCAAGGACAACGTGGCGCCGCAAGAGGGTTTGGTGCCAGCTGAGACCTGCCCAGATCAGGGTGTTAGAGAACTCTGGGTGCCCAAGGAAGTGGGTGGGTATCAAACCAGGGGCCCTGGGCTGGAAAAGGAGGCGACTGAGGAGATGGAAGAGGTTGGACTGGGTTTTCCAGTTTGCCCCCCAGACCTGCCCTGGGCTCCAGACTACATCAGTGGCCCCATCCCCCACCTCCTCTGGCTTCCGGGTGAGTTTGGCCCCCGGCCCAGAAGCTGGGGAATTTCCCCAACTCCTTGCTGGGCACAGACCAGCTCTCTCCCTGAGGCTACAGCCCCTGCCCGGTGCCGTCTCCCTACCCTCTCAGGGCTCTGGGAGCAGCCCCCACCCAGAGCTTCGCCCACGCCTTGTACACACAAGGAAGGAAATGGCCCTTCATAAAAGTCCTTTTCTCTCTTTGAGTCTGTCTCCTCCCAGGATCCTGACTTCCTCCAGGTGAGGGAGGGGGAGGCAGGGTGGTTCCCAGTAGTCACCTGGACAGCCTGGGACCAGATGTGCAGGGGTCGGGTCGGCAGGCGAGAGAGTCTGACACAGGTGGAGAGCCTGGTGGGCAAGCAGGTAGTGTTCGGGAGTTCGGGACTGAGCTCTGCAGCGGCTCGCGGCACCATCAGGTGTGGGGGATGGGGTGGAAAGAACGAGGTACACGAGCCAGGGACCCACAGAGGACAGCAGAGAAGGAAAGTGCAATGAGTAGGGCCACCCACACTGACCTACACATCGAAGACAACTCAGCAAAAGCAGCTACGAGATGTTGTTTTTAAACCACATCAACCAGTTCTAAAGTCCACGTGCAGAATAAAGGTACAAGAACGATAGGCTGGAAGTGCTGGGATGGACACGTCCCCAGAGAAGCTGCACAGACGGCCACAGGCACGTGGAGAGGCGCTCGGCGTCACGAGTCACAGGGCAGCGCGCACACATGACACCACACGACCCCGCCTCTGAGCACAGCTACTATCGAGAGAGATCGATGGGCAGCCAGATAAAATGAGCGCTGGGGAGGGTGTGAAGAAACTGGAACCCTGTGCACTCTCGGTGGGAATGTAAAATGGTGTAGCTGCTGTGGGAAGCAGAACGGCCTCGAAACCTTAAATGCAGCATGTTTACCCGATCCAGGATTTCCCCTTCTGAGCAAACACCCAAATGGGTATGTGTAACTCGGCTCACGGCACCATTACTCACAGCAGCCAAAAGGTGGCAGCACTCAGATGTCCGCTGACGGAATGGCTGGGCCTGCGGAGTATTACTGAGCCTTAGAAAGGAAGGACATCCTGGTTTCTGCTACGACGGACAGAGTGACATGAGCCAGTCACAGCATGGAGGGCTCAGATCACAGAGGAGAAAAGCAGGGTTGTGGGTGCCGGGGGTGGGAAGGGCGAGGCGGTGAGTGTGTAACGGGTGCAGAGTTTGGGAAAATGAAAAAGGTTCAGGAAATGGTGGCAGTGACAGCTCCACAAAGATGTGAATGTGCTAATGCCCCCAGACCATAGCCCTAAAAACGGTTAAAATGGTAAATTTTATGTTATGTATATTTTACCACAATAAAAAAGCAAACAAGAAAAGAAAGAAAAGAACGATGAAACAGAAAGTCCTGGAAAGTTCTGGAACGGAAGGCTCAAGTTGTCCCAGAGGGCAGACTGTCAGAGAACCAACCGGAACGTTTTGTTATGGGCAGTCCACTGCACACACGGATCAGAGGTCTGTGTCATCATTCAGCATATGACTATTTCGCATTTAAAAGCCACAAGGAAAAGGACATTAATTAAGGGTTTGGGACAACTGGCAGCTGTCTGCAAAAAAAAAAAAAAAAAAAAAAAAAACATAACAAAACCTCGGACTCCTACCTCCACAATAAATTTCCTCTGGTCCAGAATCGTAAGTGCAAAACAAACAAAAAACAAACAAACAAAACCCAAACCACGACCACAAAAACATTCTAAGAAAACAGAAGACTTCAACAGTGTGGAGGTGAGGAAGGCTTTTCTCAGCGTGATACAGAAGCAGAAACCAGTTAAGAAAAATAGTTTATAACTAATTAAATCAAATTGCAACATTTTGCATAGAAATAACCTTTTAAGTCAAAGGATGTGTGACAAACCAGGACAACTTTGTAATTCACATGCCCACTGACGGGCCAACCCCCCCCCCCCCCCCCCCCGAGGTTAGTGGGGTTAGTGAGGTCGGCAACCTCCTAGAAGCGGGTCAGGCAGGCTGGGCGTTTGGGGAAGGAAACAGGAATGACGATCTGCTGAAAGATGCTGAACTCTGCCCGTAGTCAGAGAAAAGTAACTCGCACGCC